TAAAAGAGATAGTTTTGTTGAAAATGAAATAGATTCGAGAAAAGTGTCAGCACTATTGAGATGATACCTAGGTCCTGAGAAATGCATCATCAGAGCAGGGGTCACAACCCAGGGCCAGTGCCAAAGTGTGTCTCACTAGGGTCAGGGCATAGCAGCTTTTAAAAGGCCAGCCAGGGCAGTGATCTAATCCGAGGCAGTTTGTTGTAATTGTTTGGTCTGGTCCTTAAGTCCATTTGTTTGTCTATGACTGGCCGGCAGAACTCCAGACAGAAGGCTGCATTGTGGGGCTGTTGGGACAATCAGCATACGTCTCCAGTCTCTTCATGGCCACCAGTTGCTGCCTCAGCAGTTGGCCCAGAAGTCTCAACAGGAGGCCTGGGACAAGACAGTCTGTTTGATGCAAAGCAGGAGCCACACATCTAAAGATTTCTCAGAAGTTGTAAACAGCTAATACTTTTAATTTTTTTTAATGCCTCATCTAATACTGTCAGTGACCAGTTGACTTTGAGGGTCAGTCACTTGACCCTCAATCTTCTTCTCATGTTCCTTATTCTCCCCGAAGGATCCTGAGTTTGTGCCCTTCTCTTGTCCCATGGTCTGTCCTCACCTGCTCAAGTTAGCACGCACGCGCACGCGCACACACACTCACTGTCATACACACACTCACTCTCTCTCCCCTCTCCCGTCTAGGAACCCCTCCTTTCTTTTCTTGACCGAGGACTTGTTCATCTACCTCAGGAAATTCTCTTTTGTTGTCTAGCTTCAATTTCAAAGGGGCAAGACCTTCATGAAATAGTGTGCTCAGAGGAGGCTAACTTTGGGTGCCAGTTCTGTGGGTGAACACTAGATGGCAACATTTCTAGGCTGCTGTTGCCCTGAGAATATTTTTCTCATAATGGAAGCCCAGACTGAAATACTAGCATGGTTCTTTAATTTCTTAAGATATTTTCCTCCTCTTGTCTTAAAAATTAAGTGAGCTTTTGGGCAACTCAAGAAAGAAACTTTGTAGTGGCCATTGGTGAAAATAAAGTATTCGTTTTAATGCCTTGCATGATTAGTCATTTACATTTAAAATTACTTCTTAAAGTAACAGTACATCAGTATTGTCCATTCATTAACTCTATTGTGTTCTGTTTATGGTTTTTAAAATGTGGTTAGCTCTTTGAAATAGCTAGTTGTTTTTATTTAATCTCCCAGGGATCCAGAAATGATATGTGATATCTGTAACAGAAGGATACATACATATTTTTCCTTTTTTGTTTTCCTTATGGGAATTTCAGCTGAAGGGCTGGAAAATAATAGCTGAGAATGTCCTGAGAGTGTGAATGAGAAAGCAAAGTTACATTTTCTTTGATGAAGGAATGATACATATCT